CCTCCTGTGCTGTCATTTTCCTTTATCTTAAACATGGCTTCTTACTATTTTTCCACAGACATCATATCTGAAGATGTTTTTTTGAAAAGTGAGCTCCTCTCTCCTATGCCAATGAGAAATTTCTAGAACTCCACCTGTCCCCAAAGCAATGTGATCGTAACCGTCTACGCACGCCTGAGTGCCGACACTATTTCTCCAACTCACAACCAGTATATTGGTTTATGTTCTCTTTACTCCTCCTGTTTCTGCCGTGTAGCATGACTCTCAGAGCATGTGATTATATTAAATTCATAAATACTTGGCTGTATTTTTTTAAATGATAAGTGGTAGCAGACATATAAAGAGGATAATGCAGAATGTACATAGGCCTAAGAAAAAAGCATACTATAAACCTGAGGAGATAAACTTTCCTCTAAAGTAAGTTTTAATAAAGGAGGTTCTAAAGGAAGAAAGCTTTGTTTTGGTGAAAAATATTAAGTAGCCTAGGTATGAAAGGCAGAAATGAACAAAAATAGGCTGTAGTGCCCCCTGATTTGCCTGTCAAGAATTTCACCCTGTACTGTTTCGAGAGAAATTGAGAAATGCAAATAACCTGGACGGATTAATAGCATCCAAAGAGAACTAACAGGATACAAACAAACAGCACCTTTTGCTATGAGAAGGCAGATTCCTCCAGGCAAACAAAGAAACAGGACAGAGTCAACATCTGTTTCATATAACAGCTTGGCTGCTGAAAGAAGCAACCTTTAAAAAAATGGTTTAGCTGACAATCCTCAAAAACCATTCAATCGTTCATGCACAGGCTGAAGTAAATAGGTAAATGAACATAACTTGCACTTTTCACACCACCTTCACTGTCTTCTAAAAAAGAAATGCTATCTTTTCTTTAGAAAAGAATAGAAAAAAATATAAAGTACAAGTAAAAAACCTTAGTGAACTTTTTCCTTTTGATTGACAACTAGCAGCAATAAATACTGAAGCATGAAAGATGACTGACTGCTTTTCGGCTTTCCTTTGCCTTTCCCAATGTCAACTGTAACAAGACCACCAAAGAGTTTAACTTAGTGGGGATGGTGGCCAGGATGAAGGTGAGGATGGGGGTTGGGGAGACAATTCAGACATACCTCATTAGAATATTAAAGGAAGAAAACAAGTCATTTGACAAAACCAATCATGGTTCTGCAATTCAGTTAAAGGTAATTGTGATGTCTGGAACCTTATCAATAAATGATCATAAGCCAAACATGTTAGAAATGAAATATTCATCTCTGGGTTCTATCAGTTCACATACAAAATTTCAAAATCAAGACAAGAACATCCATGAATGCATAAAAATCTATATAGTTAAGGACCGGAAACTTCTAAAATGAAAAATGATGAGTACTTGTGTGTCACTGCAGTGGGGATGAAAGCTTTCAAATCAGCTAAACGCCAGACACTTTCCTTACCTTAGTAAAGTGATTAAAGTATATAAACCAAATATACAATGAAAGCAATTAAAAGGTAATGATAAGAGAGATTTTTCATGTAAATTGAAAACAGAGGAAAGGTGATAAAATGGAGACAAAAACATTTCCTATTAACTCACGTGGACTGCCAAAACCATGCTAGAGTAGCTACTTTTTTTTTTTTTTTTTTGAGAGATTTTCACTGTAGGGCGCGTGCGCTCGCCAGACAGACAGAGAGAGACATAGAGACAGAAAGCGAGAAATCACCCCCCAGGGGGGATGGTCACGCTGCAATCCCTTCTCCTCCATTCTCCTCTCGGGATCCTGGGCATGCACGCACATGCGCCCGGCGTGAGTTTTAAGCCACCGGGTCCGGGACACGAACCGCGGTTGACTACGTGGGAGTCCAGCGACATAGCCATTACGCTAATTGCTGGTTCCCTAGAGTAGCTAATTAAAGGACACCAATGAGGTTCCTTCCCAGTGGCAGCCCAGTTCAAACAATTATAACACGATGAGGTAAAACGGTAGCAAGGCATGACCACAAAGTGAAAATGAAAGAATGTAATTTGTGTTATTTTTTTAAGAACTTAGCATTTCTCAAGGGTACCTTTTTGAAGGGTGAGAGTAAAATTGTATCTTCTATAGTATTAGTTATGGGCCAGGTAAACTTTAAGTACCTGGCCTGCATTAACTAATAATAGTCTTCACAAGAATTATATGACATAGGAACTATTATTACTACATTTTTTACAGGTAAGAAACAGAGATATAGAACTTGCCTAGAATCACACAGACTGACTGGGCTTTGAAATACATCACTAGGAGGAAAAAAAAAAATCCTTTGAATGATTCTATTCAGAATCTCTGCCAGGTGTCTTGATAAAAGAGCAAAGTTCTATGTGTTACATATATTTTTCAACACACATATAATATATACACACAGACATCTAACAGTTTTGTGACAAAGATAATTTATTAATATTCTCCAAAAACAACTTTTTAAAATTTAACTCTATTACTTATTGTTATCTCATTCCATACCATTTTTTTCTTGCTAGAGAAGAAGTTCATTTGTTTCTCTATTTTGAAGTGAAAAACTTAAAGTTGGGAAGAAGAGTGGACTATCTTAGAACTAACTGAAAGGGGTAGAAGGATGTTAGCACGGAGGAATAGGCCATGCTATTCTCTTGAATTAACCCCAGAATAAGCAGAATTGCATGGGCATTCCTCACTGAGACATCATCACTCTCCTGGTTCTCACCAACTATGTTCTTGAGTTTTCCCCTCAAGTTCAGAATCTGTCCTTAGGCTGACAATCTGATTGACCTCTGAAAACCTGTCCTGGGAACAACTCTCTAGAGAACAGAGGATTTTTTAATCTTCACACACTGATCCTAAAACACTCAACTTTTTTTCCTCAAACTTAGAACTTATTAAGCAAATCCCTCTCAGACAACTGGATTTCAGTAGGTCATACCTCTTCCTAAATGCCACACATGTTATATTGGGATGATCCTCTTATTACCTAGAAAATATGTTAAATATTGGGAAAGCTACACTTTCTTCATATGTGTTAGCCTAGTTTTTCATGTGTCCTGGGGTGAGACATAACTTATGATTATTAGTATTTCCAGTCTCAAAAAAATACTCAAGTAAATGAATTAGTAAATGTACCACCAAGGATTCACTCTCTCCACTGCTTGCTTCTGAGCATCCAACACAGGGCTACACAACTAGATTCTATTCACAAAGTCACCTTTTCTCTTCTTTTTTTTTTGGAGAGGTTTTTGCTATGGGGCGCATGTGCTAGCCAGACAGAGAGAGACATAGAGACAGAAAGTGAGAAATCACCCCCCCAGGGGGGATGATCACACCGCAATCCCTTCTCCTCCATTCTCCTCTCGGGATCTTGGGCACGCACACACACGCACCCGGCATGAGTTTTAAGCCAATGGGTCCGGGACGCGAACCGCGGTCGACTACATGGGAGTCCAGCGACATAGCCATTACACTAACTACTGGTCCCCCTAATTCCATGGATTTTCACAACATATTCTCTGACTTTAATATATCCATAAGTAACACATGACTGTCATTGAGAAACAATCTTTTTTTTCTTTTTTGAGAGGTTTTTCCTATAGGGCATGTGTACTCGCCAGAAAGACAGAGAGACAGAGACATAGAAAGCAAGAAATCACCCCCCAGGGGGGATGGTCACGCCGCAATCCCTTCTCCTCCATTCTCCTCTTGGGATCTTAGGCATGCATGCACATGCGCCCAGTGTGAGTTTAAGCCACCAGGTCCGGGACTCAAACCGCAGTCGACTACATGGGAGTTCAGTGACATAGCCATTACACTAACTGCTGGTCCCAAGAAACAATCTTAATATTACCACAAAGTAATATTAAAATATTCAACAAAGAGAACACAGTCTTTTAAAAATGTTGTATAGGAAATGTTTATGTTTCATGATTTTTAAAGTTGAAATGACAAAACCAAATGTCTTAAAGGAAAATCAATTTATCAATCAAGGTTGTTTTTAAACATTAACGCTATAAAAGTCAAAAGTAGCTATAAAAAGGCTGAGAGAACACCTGTCTGAGAACACCATGGCCTGAAAACAGACACCTAAGAGATGAGCCAATACTTTATTAGATAAAAGTAAAAAGGGTACCAAACATGATTAAAATGACATAAATAGATCACAGAATTACCTTAAAGGAGAACAAAACAAAACAAAACAAAACAGGGTAGGTCCATATCACAAAATGACTAAAGAGATGAAAGAGAACTTTCTTCTAAGTCATTAAGCTCACTGATATTATACTAAACTCCAGAGCACTTACCATTTTCCTATGTCATTAGAGAACTGAGTAGGCTGAATCAGCTGATTTCTTTGTTAATCTATTTACATGGGTTAAGACCCTGACTGACATAAAACACAACCAAAAAATGCCAGACAGAGAGTATGATGAAAGACTGAGTGATGTATGGTTTGAGGTACAGCCTATCTAATAAATGTGCATGGCTAGCAAAGATCCCACTGGCAAAGATTTATTATTGGGACAAATGCATTATAAAAAGATCTAATACAATAAAACTTGCACCACAAATACAAACTGCTCTAAAATACAGTTCTTGGCCCTGTATACTTTATCATTCAGTGACTATATTAAAAGTCATATGTTTCTTTCCAAAATAAATTTCTTCAATGACTAAAACCAGTAAGAAAAGAGACTGTCACTAGTAGTAGTTTTTCAGTTCATAAAAAATAAAGCAAAGAAACCAGTTAGTAAAGAGACTGTCACTAGTAGTACAGTTTTTCAGTTCATAAAAAATAAAGCAAAGTTTGTATTACTTAAAATTCCTTGACAACTTTTAAAACATGTAAAGAGAAAAAAATATTTCTAGGAGAAACATTATTATGAGAAAAGGTAAAAATTAATCACCTAACTAGAATAAATTATCATGTTTTAATGATCTATAGTACATTAACACCAAATTAGTACAAGTTAAGGTCAGACATAGAAATAATTTTAAATGCTATACCTCCAAGTTCTTTTACATTCAAGATGGCATTCTGGAATGGCACTGCTTTTATACTAAAACCTAAAATTAAAAACAAACACATAAAACAAGAATTAGCAACTTAATTTTTAAATTAAACACTTAAATGTTCAAATTCTCTTTTTATTTTTAAGAAGTTTTTGCCTTAGAGCATGTGCACTCGTGAGGAGAGAGAAGGAAAAAGAGAGAGAGAGAGAGAGACAGACAGTGAGATAGAAAGTGAGAAATCAACCACCAAGAGGGATACTCACACTGCAATCCCTTCTCCTCCATTCTCCTCCCAGGATCTTGGATGCACACATACCTGGCATAAGTTTCAAACCACCAGGTCCAGCACTCAAACTCTGGTCGGCCATGTGGGAGTCCACCAACCTAACTGCTACACCATCTGCTGGCCCCTCAAATTCTCTTTTTAAGGCAGATTAAGATTTTTTTTTAAGAGAAATTTTTGCTACATGGAGCATGTGCTCTCCAGAGAAACAGAAACAGACAGACAAAAAGCGTGAAATCACCCCACTCCCGGGGACTGGGGGATGGCCACGCCGCAACTCCTTCTCCATTCTCTTCTCAGGATTTTGGACACACATGCACACACAACTAGCATGACTTTTAAGCCACTGGTTCTGGAACTTGAACTGCAGTCGATAATGTGGGAGTCCAGAGACGAAACCATTACACCATCTGCTGGTCACAAGATTTCCTTTTAAGAATTATTTTATTTCATTGTTGGGGGATGGCCACGCCGCAATTCCTTCTCCATTCTCTTCTCAGGATTTTGGACACACATGCACACACAACTAGCATGACTTTTAAGCCACTGGTTCTGGAACTTGAACTGCAGTCGATAATGTGGGAGTCCAGAGACGAAACCATTACACCATCTGCTGGTCACAAGATTTCCTTTTAAGAATTATTTTATTTCATTTTATACATTGTTATTACTGGTTGATTGATTGATTGAAGTTGACCAGAGAGAAAGAGCAGGGAAGTGAGAAAGCAAGCGCAGTCAGCCATGTGGGAGTCTAGCCACCTTAACCACCACTCCACCTGCCAGCCCAAGATTTACTTTTCATAGCTCTTATTTATACTGACACACTTATAACCCAATTACGTTCTACCATTTTTCAAATCAGTTACATATTACAGTAAAATATAATACTATCACCTTTACTTCAAAATGCTGCCTTATTTTAAAATTTAATATGTAATGTCACTGGGCACTTTCACCCATTGTAAGACAGACATTTGGAAGTCTAGAAAAATTTTCCCCCAAAAAATTAAACCTATAAGGACTTCTGCATGTAATTCCTAAAGTTAATGTCTTACAATTTTTCTCACATATAACTCACCAACTCTAAAGATTAAGGTGTTTAAAGAATAACCCTTTTATGTAAGAATCATGCAGTATTATATCAATGTTTTCTTCTCAGGACATGGTTATTATGCCATAAATATGAAAGGACTTCAAAAGTCTGTGTAAAAATAGCATCAAAGTACAAGTTTATTTTGGGGCAAAAAAATTTTGAAACTCATGGATAGATTCTCATAATTTTTGTAATTTTCCATAAACCTTCTGAAGACAACTCCCTATACGTTTTTCTTAACAGTACAATCATAATTATCCATTCATGAATGGGCAACCATTTTATAGTGCATGTAATAAAAAATCTGTATTATAAAAAATACTTTCAGAGGTTATAGTTCTATGATTAATGATGTATTTAGGACTAACTACTACCATTTAAGTCAATTAATTCTGTTGCAACATATGTGAGTTCCATGTACCCATACACACATGTGCAAATATATACACTGAATATGTCAGAAAGGAACCTCAACAACCTGAAACTATTGGTCATCAGAATGTGAAAATACATCATAACTTTTCCAATGACCCAACAGTTAAATTTATTTCATTCATTACAAAATTTTGATATATATTTGTATCACTTTTTAAATTAAAATTCCCACTAATTCTTTTTAAAGGGTTTTGCCATAGATTGTGTGCACTCGCAGGAGAGACAGAGAGAGACAGTGGAAGGGAAAGTGAACTATAACCTCCCAGAAGGGATGGCCATACCACAATCCCTACTCCTACATTCTCCTCTCAGAATTTTGGGCACACAAACACATGGGCCCAGCATGTTTTTTTGTTTGTTTGTTTGTTTTTGTTTTGTTTGTTTGTTTGTTTTTCCAGCATGATTTCTTAAGCCACTGGGTCTGGAACTTGAACTGCAGTCACCCATGTGTGAGTCCAGTGCCTTAACATGCTACCTGCTGGTCTCCAAATTCTCAATAAATTTTAAGTTATTTTGTCAGTAGTTTCTGAAACATCCATTCAATAGAAAATAGAGGACAAGGGATTGTAATGTGACCATTCTTCCTGGGGGGAGGGGGTGCTTTCTCCCTGTCTGTCTAACTCAAAAGTGCACATGATCTCTTGCAAATGAAAACAAAAAACAATGTCTATAAAAGGTACTTTTAAACTCATCCTGTTATCTTGATTCTGTTTGTGGACATTTGTGTTGGTTCCTTGTCTTAGCAATTGTGAATAATGTTGCAATAAACATAGATGTGCAAGCACTTTTCTAACTGAGCATTCTCTAGAGGACAAGGGATTGTACATATTTTACCATATTCCCACCAGCACTTATTATTATTATTATTATTTTTAATCTTAGCCATTTTGACTGGGGTTAGGTGGTATCTCATCATGTTTTGATCTGCATCTTCCTTATGATGAGGGATATTGAGCATTTTTTCAGTGCTTCTGTGTCTTCAAACCTCTTGGTTTCTACCATAGAGAGTGAACAGTCGGTGTATGTTAAGTGGAGACATACAATGTCTCTATTTCATAGCCTAGCTTGCTTCACTCAGCAGCAAATCTTTCATATTTGTCTATTTTCTATTGAATGCCATTCCATTTATGGTTTCATGGATTTGTTAATATGTATACTTCTATTTCTCCATTCTATTAGGATTTGATGTGGACATGCAAATGTGCCCAGCATATTTTTCAAACCATCAGGGGCCAAGATTCAACCTGTGCTACTGGCCATGTGGGATTCAGTTCCTTTAACCACTAGGCCATCGAACCGGCCCTATAGAAATTATTAATGTTTATGAAAATCAGAAACTTAGCAGGGGAAAGAAAGTGACCAATGACTCAGCCACAATAGTATCATCACTCTCTGGCTTCTCTAAAGTGTCCTCTGATGTTTCTCCACAGGGATTCAATTGTGCTGATATGCCAAGGTACTGTCCTAGAACTCACTAGTCATATCTTTTTTCTCTTGCCTTAGCCTTGAATTCCTCATCTGCAAAAGAAGTAGACTAGATTAGCTCTTTAAATTCTTGTCTCTAAAATTAGAATTCCATTTTGTATATTAACCCAGAAGGAAGAAGTAACAGTAACCACTGAGCCTATCATCAATAGCCTCAGTATTTGGCAGAAGGCCTCATGGGTAGGTCTCCCCAGGCTCCATTCATATAATTTGATGGCTAAGCCTAAGTTACACAGTCATTTTTTCCTGGACTATCTAGGCTACATTAGTAAGACTGAAACCTCCCCTAAGATTTAACCCCACAAATTTTAATAAATATATGACTTAGTAACTCTTTGGGGAAATCACTGTTTGTATAGCCTTTCAGTCTTTGTTTTGCAATCCTTAAATCCAACAAAACCTGTGATACAGGGAAGATGGGTTTGAAATTTTTCATGCAAGGAAAGCATTCCTGGAATTGAAGCAAAATTAGTTTCGGGAGGAAGTTTATTCTATTTTTATTCATTATGTGGAACACATGAGTATTTTACTTGGACCTATAAACTGAACCTTCCTCCCTGCTCCCCCTAAATCTGCATGCATGCACACAGATACATGATGCGTATTTCTAAAAGTCCTGGTCACTCCAAGAATTGCTGAGGGAAAGACATACCACAGACCTGAAGGCCCTGACCTAGACCAAGGGGCATGATTTACACTGTGGCAGTTTTGTGATGCTTGGACAACAGTTCAGCAAAATTCTTATAAATATGATTTGAATGTCATAAAAAGAAACATAATCTGCTGGCATTTATAAAACACAATCCTTTAACAGATACCAAAATCTGGCTTTCTAACTGGTTTCTCTTGTTGACTAAACACATACCCAGTTAATACTACAGTTATTTAATTGCCTCATTCAAATTTTTATAAACTTTTCTGTATCTTTTAAATTGTCATGACCTTTTCCTATTGTAACTGAACGACGTACCACCTGATAATTTTTGCAATGATATATACTCCTAGAATAAATTTTTGCAATGATATATACTCCTAGAATATATTTTCAACCTCTTGCAATTCAAAGTGTTCAGTTTTTTCTAGGTTGTTCATGTTATATCAACATACTATCCTAAGGCTTTAGATTCCATTCCTCTGTTTTTATTCTTTCCTAAGGTGAATATTTATATAATCTACAGTTTAGCAATCCTTCTTATTAACAAATTTCTCATGCATAGACTGTCAAAGAATTCACACCAGACAGAGTTCACTGTTGTTTCTGTATCAAGATGCATGTTACACAATTTTCTTTCCACCAACAGTTCCTGCTCTCTGGAGGATTTCTTAGCCCTTTCAGTTTTGACGATTTAAATATCTTTTTAAATTTATGTCAAAAGTGAATCACTGCTGGGAGCCAGCAGTTAGCGTAATGGCTATGTTGCTGGACTCCCACGTAGTCGACCGTGGTTCGTGTCCCGGACCCGGTGGCTTAAAACTCACGCCGGGCGCGTGTGCGTGCGTGCGCCCAAGATCCCGAGAGGAGAATGGAGGAGAAGGGATTGCGGCGTGACCATCCCCCCTGGGGGGTGATTTCTCGCTTTCTGTCTCTATGTCTCTCTCTGTCTATCTGGCGAGCGCACGCACCCTACAGTGAAAATCTCTCAAAAAAAAAAAAAAAAGTGAATCACTGCTGAATGAAGTTAACAATCCAATAGAATTTGGATTCCCTTTCTTTCTTCAGAAAGGGTAGGAAATTCTTCCAGTTTGACAATGTTTCAG